TCGCACCTTTCTTTCAGATGCATCCTGCCATCTCATTCAGTCCATGTGTAACACAACCAGCTATCCAAACAAAACCCAACTTTGGGTACACTTACCTGTGGTCATAATCAGTAACAGAGCTTGTTTGCTGTCAGTTCTTCCACTGTTTCTTAACTTCGTCTCAAATCCTACCTGCACCTTGACATTATCAAGTCTATGTTTCCAATACAGATTTTTTTTTTTTTTTTTTTTTAATATTGAATTTAAGTCCATCTAAAGTCTTAAAGAGACTTCTGCACCTCCCACGAAACTGGCCTCCCTTTTGGTCAACTACAACAAACAAACATATCAGCTTTCTAAAGGAATTCTTTTGAACTGCAATAACGTCTAACACTTCCATCTTCCTTGCTCCTTTTGTATAAACAGAAAAAGCAGAACTGTCCAGAAGTTGCTTGTTTTGAGAATAAGCACATCTCTATCTGCTCATCCAAGCCAAGTTTAGAGATACCTATTGATTCCAAATGGATCCACCACCACCACTGATTTTCAGTATCAGCAGCCAGAGGATGACTCACTGCTTCACAAGTACAAAACAGCACACATGTTTACCAGTAAAAGTGTACTTTTAAGATAATATGATGCTGTGAGCATTTTATATATATAATTATGTTATTATGTGCAATCTTCTATCTTGTTTCTCATGCCACTGCCACAAGTAATCCCTTCTCTCTTCCCACCCCCCACCTCCCCCTCAAAGAATGTTTTGGAAGAAGGGCAATACTGAGAAACCTAAGCAAAATCATCTTTGAGATGCAAGCAGCAGTTTAACTTATAATGTACTCCACAAATATTCACTGCAAGGATAAAAGAAAAGAAGAAACATTCGTGAATAAAATAAACTTGCATAAACTTTGAGGTTCTTCTTCTACATGAATTAGTGTAATGCAGTTACTGCTGGCATTTGCCCCCTATATGGCTGTATAACAAACCAGAAGACATTTTACAAAAAACAAAAACATCAGTTGTTTTTAATAAGCTGTTTTTAAAAATTACCAGTGCTGCTAGTCAGCATATTCGTCTTGGCCCACAACCAGAATATCATCACTTCTGGCATAAACACCGCTCTGCAAGGACCACAGCTATTGTCCAGAGCAGAAGCTGAAGGAAGCAGAACTGGTCACAAACAAGAGCAGGCTGCCAGCAGGCACACAGCACTCCGGGGAATCGCTCTTCCGACAGCCACATATGGGACAAACACCAGCAGCAGCCACACACCAGATCCTAGTGAAGAATCCTGAACACCTCTTTACCCTGAAACACAACAAGAGGACAGAAAGTGTCAATAGAAAGCAAGAGAACAAAGCTGTTTCAATATTTGCTTATACTTGCATGAAGGAATTAAAATAGCATTTTTGTGTTCAAACTTCTTCTGCCAGGACTGACTTCCCCCCCCCATGTCATATTTAGTATAATTAATCATTTCCAAATCTATTTTGCTTTTAACTAATGACTCCACAGTCACCTAGTTATTTTCCTCCACATTTTCCCCTCACTCTATACATAAGCACAGGCACACCACTGATTTTGTCAAGGAAGCCTCATAACCAAGTGCATGTGTGTGGTTTTATAAACTGAAAATTTTCTAAGCAGAAGAATGCTATCAAGAATTAGCAAACTTTAAAAAAAAAAACAAAAGCCAACTAATATTGCAGAATAGAAAACTCAAAATGGGAACAAATATTTTTCAAAGCCAGAGGAACAAAGAAACTGAACCCCCCCACTTAACTACTTCAAGTTTGGCTGTGAAAAGTTATAGCAGCAATCAGGACATCTTAATTACGTTGTATAAACAGATGTAAAAATAGGACACAAGGAAAAATCAACACCCCAAAAGCTTACATAGCTTCCATAGATGTGCAAGAACTCAGCAAACAAGAAATGAGTCAAAGGATCAAGAAAGGTACACTAAGTGTACAACAAAGACAGCAGTAGACTAGCACACATTACCTGGCATTTATGTATTACAATACTTGCACATGCATGCTGATCAAATAGAGAAGGCATGCTGCCATGCTCTGCTGATTTGCAGAACGATGCAACCAGAACAGAGCACGAGTTCAGCTCTGTGAGGGCAGGGCTTTACCCGACTTAGAGCAAACCCATTGTTCTGTCATGTCTCATGCTTCTAACGCTGGGTCATCAATCTCCACATTTACCTTATAGAATTCTAACTACAAGACTGACAGTTGTTTGTTCCATTAAGCATTCCAAACAACAGGCCCTACAAGCAGCAGATTAACCCAGATTCGGCACGATTCTTGAAACATGAGAGACCTGACCTCTTGTAAGGAAGGGATCATCCTCATGAAGCAACAGAACAAGGCAGGCTATTCTCGTGCAGACAGGTACTCCTGAAAAACCAGAAACCATCCCGACACACCAAACAAGTGGCTCAGAGGTGGAGGCACCGAAATTTAATCACACGTTAAACCACAGGGAAGGTCACCTCAAAAGCAGATTAAAGATTTATTTTATTTTTTGAAAAGTCTTTAATTATACTTGCTTGATCCATAAACATACATCAAATACATTTCTCCTTCAATGGAGAAATTATCAGAAGGTGGCACCTACAGAAAAAAAAAAAAGTCAAACACTGCCAGTTGAAGGGCAACAAGCCTTTGTTTTACATTACATAGCAAAACTTCATGGGAACTCAGAAGCTTGCTTGCTCTGAACACAGATGAAAGAGAAATGAAGCATTTCACTGAAGTAAAGGTTTGCATGCCTTTAGGAGTCCTTCAGGAAGCACGATCTAAAAACTCCAAAACCATTCAAAGAGGATGAATACAATTCACAAAACAGAAGAGAAAGGAGTTTTCTTTTCAACTACGTCAAACTTGCCCTGATTTCCTTCCTCTCCTGAATGCATCATTTTGGCTTCCAGTAAAGGTCATGCCACAGAACAAGGTCTGCAAAGTCAGGAAGATATCAATAGATTCCATAAGCTCGAGCTGTTTCTGTCAACATACAGGTTTCCTCCACTTTAATACTGCAAAAACTTCAATCCTTTCATTTACCACCCCAGTGATCCCACTCCACCTGCAGCTGGAACAAAAGCCTCATGCACGTCAGACAGCAGAACACATTCCCTCCTTCAGTGAAGGCCCACACCATTATCCACAACACAAATGTTCATCTACATGTTTGACAACATGATTTTCACCATGCAGCTTCAAGACCAGCCAAAGCAGAACTAATTGCAGAGGCTGTAAGCATAATGGTGCATGTAAACAACACACTCTGTGTATTTCATTATCTGTAAGCTAACGAGCAACAGGAGGCCGGACAACATGCACTCTTGCAATATACTTCTGCAGCTGTGCAAGTGCTACAAGAAAGGTGCACACAACTGCAGCCTTCATAGAGAAATTAAGGGCAAGAACACAACACTGTGTGTCTTTTAAAAGTGAAAACTTACTGTCCTCACTGATTAAGCAATAATGTAGAAGGCTTTTCACCAAACCAAAGATCAAACTGTAGCTGGACAAGAAGTTTTTGCAGAATATTTTTTCTTCACAAGCAGCAGCACTGCACTTCTGAATTGTGCATTCTTGCTTTCCCTTGTGAATACTTACATGACTACACCAATAGGAAGAATTACTAGTTGCTCTTAGAAGAGCTGCAAAGCTTCAGAGAAGTAGCTGCAGTATGCATTAGTTAGTTCTTTAAGAATTCAATACACTTCAATAATTTAATGAAAATAATTAACTGGTTCCCTAGGTACATAAACTGTACATAGCACACAAGGTGTCAGAACAAGACTTTGGGGATAAAAGCATGAGATTCAGCACACACAAAAAAAAACCACAAATGGTAAAACATACACTGGGAAACTATTCTAGCACCCAAAAGAGCTGCAAGATTTGTGTATACACTTCTGCTTTCATTACAGAGGACATAAATACTTCCTTACAAAGAAGTATTAGTCTCTCAGTGCTCCTCCACAGGTCATGGCTTTCCTGACATACCTAACATCCATTCACACAAACAGGAAGAGCCAGAAAACACTCCAAAACAACAGCTCTCCTCATACCAACTTGAGTTGCACTCTCAAGAAAAAGGTATTCTGAAAGTGTAATACCACAGCACGAGAAAGTTAGTGTTAACACATGGATTTTAAAGATACAGAGATTATCATACTAGGGATCCAGTCAAGTCTCTTATTAAATAACTGAGTTACGTAGGCCTATGGCAAAATTGACAGTGACATTTAAGACTGCTTCCTCATACAGCTGAAAAACACTCAAAGCTAAATTATGAGATTATATTTTTATTCAAGAAATCTCCTAATACTCACACAACAGTATCTGCAAAAAGAATGCAGTTAACCCAGCAGAGTTAGGATGGTATGTGGCAAACCAAAACACTGCCTCCTATGTGTAGCAAGAGATAAGCCCCACCAGAACACCCCTAAGGGCTTTGAATAGCCCTGCAAATAATGATGAGGCAATCTGGGAGGAAACCACAACAGCTCTCTCCATCTGCATGTAAGGTGCAGGGCTGAGGAAGATGGGACAGCACAGGTGCTGCTCTATGGGCTGTATTCCTTCACCCAGAGACGGACCTGAGAGATGTGAGCAACTGTGAAGGTTATACAGCGCTTGCGAAGGATGCGCGTTCCTGCAACCGGAGGAGGGTGCGAGCAGCACAAGCAGCGCCATCGGAACCCACACGTACCCTCACGGACACAAGGCTGCACTTAAAGGCTGAGCTGCGCAGCACAGCACGCACGGGCTGCTCAGAAGCACACCTCTACACACAGCTGTACGCACACAGCCGCATCCACGCTCACACATCGCGCTGCCCCGCCTTGCCGGAGGCACACAGAGAACGCGATGCCGCGGGGAGCCCGGCGCAGGGCCGGGCACGGAGGAGGCCGAGCCGGAGGGCAGCACGGCTGCGAGGAAAGCGGCTCTCGGGAAGGGTCGGGAGGGGGAAGGGCCGAGGGTGACGGCGCGTACCGTGTACTCCCGCACTTGGCTGTGGAAGTTCTGCTCGCGGATCGACACCTCGTCCGCCTCCATCCTTCATAGTCCCGCGGCCCCCGCTCGCAATGGCGGCCGCCGCCGCCGCGCCTGCTGCTGTCCTCCCGGCGGCGGGCGGGCCACCATGGCCGGTGGCAGCGCCCGCTACTCCCTCTGAGCCCGGCCGGCGATCGAGAGACTCCAGCGACGATCAGCTCCGCCGCTCTGTCAGCGTGCGATGGGAGGCAGAGGAGGAGGAGGAGGAGGAAGGGCGGGCAATGCCGCCTCAGCTCCTCCTGCTGCGTCACCACGCAGCGACAGCGCGCACACCGCGGCCGCACCTCCGAACCGCCCGAGGGAGGGGAGGAGCCAGTGGGCGGAAGGGGGGCGGGGCTCCGCGTTGATTGACAGGAGGAGGGCGCTGTGACTGGGAGTCTGCCTAGCAGGAAGGCGGGAGCTGGGCGGGGACGGGGCGGCTTCACTTCTTGTTTGCTGTCGTACGTGGTGGGTGTGGAAACTGTTGTTCTGTGTACGCTTCTCTCCTAGCCTCTGGCCCGTTTTCTTGCTTAGAAGAACATATCGAAGTGTTTTATTAAACTTTATCGTTAGAAAAGGGGGAATGGTTTTAAACTGAGACAAGAGAGGTTTGGTTTAGATGTTAGGAGGAAGTTTTTCACACAGAGGTGGTGAGGCACAGGTTGCCCAAGGAGGCTGTGGATGCCCCATCCCTGCTGGCATTCAAGGCCAGGCTGGATGTGGCTCTGGGCAGCCTGGTCTGCGGGTTGGCGACCTGCACACAGCAGGGGGTTGAAACTGGATGAGCATTGTGGTCCTTTTCAAGCCAGTCTATGATTCTATGAAAAGTCATCTTCGACTGTTTGATGCATTGTTTGAAGTTCTGAGTTTACAGAGAACTGCCTTTTCTTCAGCACAGCTGCAGTTTCATCCTGGTTATTTCCGCACTTTCAAAGACACATGAATTTTGCAGGCAGAATCGCAAAGTGAGTGTAAGAGGTGAGAAAAATCCCACCTGTCCTTCTGAAGTCCACTGCCTGTGCAGGGAGAGTGTCTCAGTACTTACTGAGACCTTAGGAGTGCAAAAGGACCACTAAATATAGATCTGGAGGAGCAGTGAGAGCAGCATTTTTGACACAGTTCTTGGGAAAAGCTGTCCTGCTTCAAGCTATTCAGTCCACAGCAATAGATTGTATCTGACAGTTAACGTAATTACTTTTCTGTGTTTTTTCAACTATTCCCCGTTATCTTCAGTCATCTCTTTTTCTAGGGATGCTGTGTGCTGAAAGCATCTGTAGCTGCCAAGATGACTTTTGCATGAGACTTTGGCATGTGAGAAGGGCTTGCTCCAGACTAGAGAGAACAATCAGAGATTAGGCCTGCAGTAAGCAGGTAAGAAGTACACATACTGATATGAAGATGAAGAAGGAGTGTGGTTGAAGTTCCAGCTGTATATTCAATTTGAAATTCACCCAACAAGTAGATACAGGACGTAATTTGTTTCATATCATGGGCTGGAAAGTTCTTTCTTCCATTTCTAGCAGCTGCATCATCAGAAACTTGAAACATATTTATATTTGCTGAAAAGGCAGGAAAAAAAATAGCTTAATTCCTTTGTTGGGCAGAAGTTATTGCTCAGTTCCAAGGTGTCTGCTCCACAAAGGAAGGTCACAGTAGCCACCACTGCAAAAGCTATTTATATGAAAGGACATGCAGTCTTGTACAGGCCACTGTAACAAACTGATGAGAATGTTTAGCGACAAACACACTGATGTAGGCTCATCAGTACGAAAGTAATATTTGAAGCATACCAAAAGAAAAACATAAAATACAAAATGAAGCCTAAGGTACCTTTATGAGTAGGTAAAAGACTGCTGGAGGCTTTCATCCATACCTCAGACACAGAGAAAAAAAGACAGTGTTGGAACTGTCCTCAGTGATTCTTTTGACCTCCTCAGTGAACCTTAGTTTGTTCTAAGTAAAATCAAGAAATTTTTCTCAAGTTGCCAATGTAGAAGTACATGCACACCCAAAAAGAGTCATGAAATGCAGACTTCTATTAAACTGACTCGTAGTAGTGCTTAACCCCTGTGCGTAAGAGTTGAGAGGATTTAATAGATTGTTTTGTTCTTCTTCAGCCTTGTTTTCTACCTTGTTTTTCAGAACAGTTTTTCTACCTCAAGATAATACAGTGTCTGGTATTCTTAATCTTAAATGAAGGTTTTATGTACACTGGGTTAACTGAGATACTCATGAAAAGATGCTGGGATATTCAAGCTAATAAGTTGAATTGACTAAAATTGAAATCACTAGAGCTAGAACTGCTTCACTGGGAACATTCTCATAGAATTTGTCAATGAATTTTAGATCACCCTTTTTAACTGTAAATATGAATTGGTACCATTTACCAAGCAACATTGGAATAAGTGATGCTTCTTTTCGTCATCATTCAGCCAAATGCAGTTTCGAATAAACAGAAAATGGGGCATTATTCTGTCAATTGATATGACTACTCACATTATTATATTCCAGATGCTACCAAAGAATTGGCCATACTGAAGCCTAATGCCCAACTTATTATGTTGTTGAGAACGATCACTGATTTTATATGGAACTTGGGGCAGACACATGCCACAGATGATACCCAGGACCTTACATATTCAAAATCTATTTATGGAGGAGAAAAAAAGATTGAAAACTTAGAATAAGTGGTATAAAACAATATATAGATATATAATTATTATGCACATTAAGAATATGTCTTGGTTGGCCATTGCAAAGTATGTATTTTATAAGCTAAATCACAGCAGTCATTACATTATAACTTAAGAAAGCAAGATCAGTCAGTCTTGAATCTGGATTCAACTTCAAATACTGCTGAGTGGTTTCATTTTTATTCATACCTTCTCTCTATTTTCTATTTGTTTTCTTTTTCTTTATGAAACAAGTGTGATTTTTGTTGTTGTTCCAAATATTCCCAGACTGCATCTTTTCACTGGTCAACACAGTAGCATTAGCTCCCCATCTAATATATGCCACAAAATTGATACAGTCAAGAAAAAGAACTTCAAATTAAAAATGAGAATGCTATCACAAAAATTGGATATAAACTAGTTCAGTACAGATCCACATAGGTACATGCTGGATTTTGTATATGTATGTATATATTATCCCCAAAAGTAAAATTTTAAAAATGCATCAAAGTAATATGGTTTTTCATAAGCTTTCAAAATGAACATTAGAGTAAAATATCTGCACTATTGTTACCAAAGGGCACTGATAACGTGGAGTTACTGAATGCTTTCTTTGCTTCATTGCTAAGATTGCCCCTCAGGAATCCCAGGCCCCAGAGGTAAAAAGCTGGGGAAAGGAACAGTTTCCCTTTGTCAAGAGGATCTGGTCAGAGATCAACTAGGTAAATTCAACACACACAGATCCATGTATTTTGATGGGATCCACCCACGAGTGCTGAGAGAGCTGACAGAACTGCTCTCTATCATCTCTGAAAGGTCATGGAGAACAGAGAGATGCCTAAGGACTGGAAGAATGTCACTGCAGTCTTCAAAAAGGACAAGAAGGAGGAACTGGAAAACTGCAGACCAGTCAGCCTCACCTCCATGCATGGAAAGCTGATAGAATAGCTTATTCTGGATGTCATCTCCAAGCAAGAAGATTGTCAGAAGTGGTCAGCAGGGAGTCACCACAGGGAAATCATGCTTGACCAATTTGGTAGCCCTTTAGGATGTCATGACGGGGTACATGGTACAAGGGTACATAACAGGCTGGGTACCTGAGGGGAGAACAGTGAATGCAGTGTACCTTGACTTCAGTGAGACTTTTGGTACTGTATCCCATAACATCCTCATAGGTGAGCTTAGGAAGTGTGGGATAGATGAGCAAACACTGAGGTGAATTGAGAACCAGCTGGCTTGGAGAGCTCAGAGGGTTGTGATCAGCAGTGCAGTGTCTAGTTGGAGGCCTGTAGCAAGCAGTGTTCCCCAAGATCAGCACTGGATCTGGTCTTGTTCAACATCTTCATTTATGACCTGGATGAAGGGATAGCATCCATTATCAGCTTTGATGATACAAAGCTGATACACCAGCAGGCTGCCATTCAGCAAGACCTGGAGAGGCCAGAGAGCTGGGCAGAGAGGAACCTGATGAGGTTCAACAAATAGGAATTGGGAGGAATAACCATATGCATCGATACAGGTTAGGGACTGACATGCTGAAGAGGAGCTCTGCAGAGAAGGATCTGGGTGTTGAGGGGAGACAGCAAGTTGGTCATGAGCCAGCAATGTTCCTTCACATCCAAGAGGAGCAGTGGTGTACTGGGGTACATTAAAAAGAGCATTGCCAGCAGGTTGAGGGAGGTGATTCTCCCCCTCTACTATGTATTTATCAGCAGTCTGCCCAGGGTCAATAAATCATCAAACAAAAAAAGAAAAACAAAGTCTCTATACAAGCCTTGCTTTCATCAGTCTGTCTATTTTGAGTTCAGAAGTTAGTTTCTGATTAAATCAGCCCCTGACAGGTATTCAGCCATAGTGGATGGATCAAAATAATAAAAACTCACTACTTCTCTTCATGGTATGTTCAATATTTAATTACCACCTATATTAAAAATCATACTTTGCTTCTGATTTGAATTTTACTGCCTTCAGCTTCTAACTACAATTCTTGTTCTGTCCTTCTCAAGTACAGTGAAGAACTTTAATACTTGGTATTTCCTGTTAATCATAGCCGTTCACCTCAAAATCTCCTTTTCAGTCAACTAAAAGATTTGCTCTAGGAAAATTTACTCCTTATTTTCAACCATGAACTCATGTGTTGTTTTTTTTTTTCTTTCTTCCTTGAATTCTTTGCAATCTTTAAACATAGGCTGAATGCCTACCATCTGTGAGGAGAAGAGTGGTTTGCAGGTAGATCTTGTTGAGCATTTGGACCTGGAAGCTAGGGAAATTTTGTGGTCCCTTCAGGTTAGTTGGAGTCACTAAATCCACTTTAGGAATATAGTGTTTCCTCACTGAGATCTTGTATCAACCATCAGCAATCCATAATTTCTATTCTGAATCATGGTTTTCCTGGAATATCTCTGGTTCAATAGA